TTTGCTTCCCACCGGGAGCTCGGCCCGCCCCCATGTTCTCCGCTGCGCTCTTCTCGGGTGTTCGCCTCCCCGGCTCCACTGTCGGCCCTGCAGCCTTCACCGTCTCTCGTCGTAGCCACAGCTCACCCGCTGCACCCAGCCAGGGGGAAGCGAAGGTCTCTTACCCTCGGACATCTCCTCTCCCGGACACAGGCAGGCGACTTCCGGGACTGACGAGCCAATCAGAAGCTGGAAAACAGGAGCGAGGGCGGGACATGAGGGACGGCCCCTCAGCACTTCCGGTCCCACCCTTACCTCTTCCGCTCAATCTCCCTCTCCAAAGACCAGCCGTCTCAGCTTCCGCCATAGGAAGAACTCTCCGCGGCAGAAGCCTGCGCCTGCGCACTCCAGCGAATTCAGAACTCCCAGGTGTCTCCGCGGCACCAATGCGGGTGCATCCGCATTGCATGCTGAGAGCCATCTGAGGAGCGGGATACTAGGGTCTGAGGAGGCCCTTACTCTAAACTACATCTTCCCAAGCACTTGGGATCCACGGGGTGTTTCGCGCCCAGGAGGTGAGCATGGTGTGCGGTGGAGAGGGCTCCATGCTTGGAGCTGTTGGGGAGTTTGGGAATGAGGAAGCCCGGGGTGTTGATAGCGCACGCGCGGCCCAGTGGCGCGCATAAGTGAGAAGCCGAGGCGGGAGACGGCGGGAACCTGGGTATGACTGGGCGTGCACGCTGCTGAGGGCGCGCCGTTCTTTCTAAGCACGTCGCGCACCTGTTAGGTGTTGAGACCGTGACAGGTGCGAAATCGAGTTTGTCTGGCAGGGCAATAAGGTGCTGAGTTCATGTGGGACCATGTTGCTCAGGAGGAAGAATGTGGGTCACTGTCACACTCCTTCGTTCTCACTCTCTCATCGCCGCCATGTGAAATTTCTGCAGAGAAATGACTGCCAGAGGGGCTCAAGTGTGGATCCATAGTGAAGTTTTCCAGCAATAAGGATCAGAACTGGGTTTGACCCTGAGATGCCAGGTAGTGTGGACTGAGTTGCACATGGCCTCAGGACAGGACATGGTGCGAATGCCCAAGGATTAGCAACCACCACCACTTCCACCTCCCTTGAGGAGGATCCCCTTTGGAACTTTCTGGAATTCCTTTTAAGTTTGAAACTACAGCATTCCCAGAGTTTTGGCCCCAGGAACGAGGTGTGAACCTAGAGACATGATGCTGGTGCCCTCTCACTTCCCTCAGGTAAAGTGACTGAGTTGAGGGCAGGTGTGACCCGGGAAAGTGTTTCCTAACTTCAGACGGGGTTCCAATAAAGGCCTGATGGGTCACGAGTCTTTGGGAGGTGGAAAGTACTGTTGTTTAACACCTGAAAATCAAGATATGGGTGAGTTTAAATTCCCTCTTTGTTCATAAGAGATTTTTCTTTGTTTTCTACTAATTTATTTTAAGATAGTAGAATTCACAATTCTAATTGTAGTTCTGTGGGGTTTTTTTTTTTGCTGAGGAAGACTGGCCCTGAGCTAACATCTGTGCCAATCTTCCTCCACTTTATGTGGGATGCCGCCACAGCATGGCTCAAGAAGCGGTGTGTTGGTGCGCACCTGGGATCTGAACCTGGACCACCAGCAGCGGAGCACATGCGCTTAACCGCTACATCACGGGGCCAGCCCCTCTGTGAGTTTTTATAAATGCATATATGTACCACCATAATCAGGATACAAGACACTCCATCACTCCCAAGAAAACAACCTCCTAGGGCCCATTTGTAGACAGACTCCCCCCACTCTTCACCCCTGACCTGTTCTAGCTCTCTATACCTTTGCTTTTTCCAGAATGTCATGTAAATGTAGACTTTTGAGTACTATGTCTAAAATTTGATGCTATATTTTGAAAATTGTGTAATCATACTTTTCCTCCAGAGTTGTCTTGAGATTTAAAAGTTTTGACAGTGCCCAGTACAGGTGGTGGCACACATTAGGCCTTCAAAATAGAGAGATTCCATCATCATTAATGGGTGCATAAGTTTAAGCAGGACTCTGCTCCCATGCTTAACTGTTGTCATCTGTACAATGGAAAGGATGTTGGGGAGGGGTGACTATAGGAGGTAATAATGATTATGAAATGACGCTAATCTCCACTGTGCTGTGAAAACAAGAGTTAACATGGAGAAATGGACAAAGACTGGACTTCATTTGCCCTTTAATTAAACACAGAGCTGTTTTATATTTTTCTCTTTCCTAACATGTGCTGGAAGTCTAAGCATATGGAAACTATACCTGTGCAAAGCAAAATGGGCATTTTGGGCTTTGTGGATCATTAAAATAAAAGTTTAATGTGTGGTGATGGATGTTAACTAGATTTATTGTGTTGATCATTTCACAATATACACAAATATCAAATCATTATGTTGTACACATAAAACTAATATATGTCAATTATGTCTCAATAAAAAAAGCAAAAGTCTACACATTCTCCTCCCGTAAAAAGGCATGAAAATTTTCCCAATTTGAGTGTATCTAATAAATTGGTATGACACTCAAAAGTGACATCCTGTCTGCAGCTCACTTCAATTATTCCTTGGATAGTTTCCCCTTTTACCACCCATAGCTCTTCTTGCTTCTATCAGGAAATCATAGTAAATTTGCATAGATATCACTCTGCTCATAGGAAAAGACTCATGAGGGTTACAACTGTGTGGATAACCATAATGCTTCCTCAAACTGTGAGGAACTCTGGTTTCCTGCAGAAGAAATTTTGTGAAGTTGGTGTGTAGGAGTAACAAAATTATAATGCCAAATATGTAAGGCAATTTCAAATTCTTGTACAAGGATGGTAAACACAGACCCCTACACACTGTGGTTCAAACAAATATAAAGCCTCTGTTCCCAGATACCAATGTCCAATCTCATAAACACATATGACATGCCCTAAAGTTTTTAACCATTGCAAAAATGGGCTGAACTATGACTTTATCTTCATTTTTATGGGAAATAATTACTGTTAACTCCATGAATGTAGGATTGTTTCTGTATCCACTGTCCACTATTTACTAACACCCTTGAACAGTTCCAGAAATAATGTTTAGGGCATATTAGATGGTGTAAATATAATGAATGAATGACGATATCCTTACTCACTGAGGCCCCTATCTTTCATTGTGTATTCCCTATCATCTCCCTTGTCTATTTCACTTCATTTTGCTTTGATAGTATCCAATAAAGTTTAAAATTTTTTCTCATCAGGATCTTTTTATATCCTTCATTAAACTGATGTAGTACTTAATTAAATTGATAAAGTCATTATTTAAGTATTTACTATTATGAATGAATAAGATATCACGTTGATAAACTGTAATGATATAAAAAATAAAATTTACTAGACAGAAAAATGCCTAAACTTGTATGCACCTGGTAAGATTGACTCAAAATGCATATTGCTTAAGTTCACAAGTTACAAAGTTGACAACTTTGTGACATGTGACAACTCATAGCTGCAATATTTTAATATATCTTTTCAAATGAAAAATAGAGATTGACATTTGTTAGTATACAATTTATTTGAAAACAGTTAATAGGATATTTCTCAGAAACACAGCTTTTGTTCAACCAAAAAAATACACATTATGTTTAATCACACATAATCAAAATTAATTGAACACACACCGAGGGCTTGTATTCAGCTCTGTATAAGAAAACCCACACGGTCTGCCCAATATGTCAATAACATGCTTATTTATCTCAGAGAAGTACTGGGCCAGGGAACCTCTCACGATGCAGTAGGGAAATACAGTCCCATGTGTTCTCATAGCTGCACCATTGTATCTGTTACAGTGGAATGAGAAACACAGAAGCATGAGAAGTATTAAGAGAATGAGGTGTTCACTATGCAGATTAGACAATATAAATATGGTAAGCTCTACAGAAAAGGAGAGTCAGAGCATCAGATAAGGTCAACAGCCATGACATCCTAATCACTGGCTTGGTGGTCGGCATAGGGATTGCAGGAAAAGGCAAACTGGACATCTGACCATGGAGATGCATCCATGGTGGGAAAGCTGGTAGAGATGTCTGTGGAAGCCTACACCTCTGACAAAATGGAAGTCAAACAGTTGGTGTTTGTTTTGAGGATACTTTTGATTGGAAGGGCCAGCAATCAGGAAAATAAGCTGGAGGCTGATGTCCACAAGGTCCCCACACATCTGTCTATCTCCTTGTATAGTGGTTGCTCGATAAACTGAATAACTGCTTCTTCTAAATCGCATGCGATTTGGGCCATTACAGAATTCCGCCATGGAACCATATAGAGAAGGCATCCTGGGAAATGTAGTTTCTAGCCTTACCTATGTTGATATAATACAATCCAACAGAACCATCTCCACCTCTAGATTTCATTGTCTCTCTTCTTAATTCAAACCTAGTGTCCAATTGCCAGCCAGAGGCAGGACAATGAACATACAGCAACAGATGAAAATAGTAGTTCATACGAAACTATATTCTTTCAAGACTTTTCATACTTACACATTTCTGCCAACTTACATATTTACAAATTTGCAAGCCAGCAAAATGGAATAATGATCCTCTAGCCAAAAAAAGAGTTGTTGAAAATACACACTTTATGTAGGTAAAAAGTGTTGACATTAAAAATTGTAGGTTCTTTCAGTAAAATAGTAAGATGGACTATATGTAATGGGTAAGGGATATCCAGTTTGGAACACACTGGGCCAGTAAGAAAACCTCAACAAATACCAATGTTACATTGGTCTAATGGCCCCATACTTACAGAACAATAAAAAAAACTATATAAAAATTAAACCTGATGCATATTTAAAATACATTTCAAATCACCCATGGGTGCATCACACTTCAAAATGGAAACAAAAATTATTAACTGAATGTATGAGGGAAAAAACTCACTATATATCAAAATTCATGTACTATAGATATACTTAGATTACTTAGATAATTCTAATCTCAACCTCTACTTGAAAAAGAAATGGAAATTCATTTGCTAGGGGCCCACTTTAAGGATGCAGTACTGATCAAGTCACTATATTTATAACTTTTATAAGATTTCTCTCCTGGTGTGAATTTTCTAAACTGTTATACATGAATTAACTTGCATCAGGCTTTCCCACATTACTTATATTTATACGGTTTCTTTCCACTATGGGTTCTCACATGACTTTGAAAGGATTTGTGACAACTGAAAGCTTTCCCACACTTTTCACACTTATAAGGTTTCTCTCTAGTCTGCATTCTTACAGTTTTGGAAGGATGAGAGCCAACTGAAGGCTTTCCCACATTGCTTACATTTATAGGTTTCTCTCCAGTATGCTTTCTGACATGTTTGTGTAAGGATGAGGACCAACCGAATGTTTTCCCACATTTTTCACATTTATAGGGTATCTCTCTAGTCTGCATTTTTACATTTTTGGAATGATGAGTGTCAGTTGAAGGTTTTCCCACATTGCTTACATTTATAGGTTTCTCTTCATTATGCTTTTTGACATGTTTGTGTAAGGATGAGGACCAACCGAATGTTTTCTCACATTTTTCACATTTATAGCGTTTCTCTCCAGTCTGCACTTTCTTTTTTTTGGAAGGGTGAGGGCCAGTTGAAGGCTTTCCCACATTGCTTACATTTACAGGCTTCTCTTCAGCATGCATTCTGACATGTTTGTGTAAGGATGAGGGCCAACCGAATGCTTTCCCACATTTGTCACATTTATAGGGTTTCTCTCCATTGTGAATTCTCACATGTCTTTGAAAGGACGTGAGCCAACAGTAGGCTTTCCCACACTGCTTACATTCATAGGGTTTCTCTCCAGTGTGCATTATCATATGTACACGAAAGGATTTGGGACAACTGAAGCCTTTCCCACACTGCTTACATTCATAGGGTCTCCCTCCATTGTGCATCATCACATGTACTCGAAAGGATTTAGGACAACTGAAGGCTTTCCCACATTCCTTACATTCATAGGGCTTCTCTCCAGTGTGACTCCTTATATGTCCAGTGAGGGAATGGGAACGAATAAATGTTTTCCCACAAAGTTTACATGCATAAGGTTTCTCTCCACTGTGAGTTTTCACATGATTCCTTAGGTATGAAGAACAACTGAAGGCTTTCCCACATTCCTCACATTGATATAGTTTGCATCCAGTGTGACTTCTTCTGTGCCTCTTAAGGGATGAACGATGCCTGAAGACTTTTCCACACTGACTGCACTCATACAGCTTTACTCTAGTAGAAGTTTTCTTGTACAGCTTACGATTTGCAATACGCCTGAAGGTTACTCTATATTTATTACCTTTACTACTAGCACAGAATCTCTCCACAATACGATTTCTGCTAAAAAAAAGGGGGGGGGAAGCACATTATTAATGGTTTATGTATTAATATTTATTAATCAGTACTAGGGTTACATTTTTACCATTTTCTGTGTAAATATGGGTTTTTGGTCCTGTTTAAATTATTTCAAAGTGGCATAAATTAAATACTCTGGAAGAGGCCTTGACCATAGCCCATTACTACAATAGTGTTTCTCACATATGGGGTTCCCTGATAATTGCTTCCAATGAATTATCTTTCAACCACTCAATGTCTAAGTCACATTAAGAAAAACATTGAATGGGCCAGCCTCAGTGGCCTAGTGGTTAAGTTCTGCATGCTCTGCTTTGGCAACCCAGGTTCAGTTCCTGGGCATGGACCTACACCACTCCAGTGACTGTGCTGTGGTGGTGGCTCACATACAAAAAGAAGAAGATTGGCAACAGATGTTAGCTCAAGGCGAATCTTCCTCAGGAAAAAAAAAACAGAAAGAAATTGGGAGGAAATTCTCTGTGAATAAACAAATTTGGAGTTAGGTTTATGGGGTTGTTTTTGTTTTCTAATTTCATGATATACTAAGGTTCTCTATTGGGATACTTCTTTTTCTCCTAAGTGCCACTCACCTCAAATGTCTCCCCTCGTTGTTGTGCTTATCTTCAATATCCTGGTCTTCCCAATTCTCTCCTAAAAGGGAGGTCCAGCAATCACTTTTTGTGAACCTTGCTATTTTCTGTTCGTTGGATAATTTTTCTCCAAAAATATCCTGCTGAGAAATGGACCCATTGGTTTTAAGTTGAATCTCATTATCTGAAACAAAAAAGTGAACAAATCTTAGGAAGAAGTCACCTGTGAGCAAAGAAACATTCAGGAGTTTAGCTGTTTCAGGACTTCATTATTAACAGGCACAAGATGTCAAAAAGGTAGGCAATTTAATACACACAGAAAAACCATCACAAGGTTTCAAACAACAAACTCCTCTGTGCATGCAAAGCACCCATGGATATATACCCACACTGATGACACTAAAAGACCCTAAGTTTTTTAAACAAGAAAGAAAGAAAAACACAGGCTAATATGTAGATTTTTATTGTCACACAGAAAATATTAGCTTCTAGGTCTGTGATGGCTCTGATCATGCCTGTGTTATTTACCAATGTATTTCCTTTCTTTATTCCAAATATTGGAATAGGCTTGATGAGTAAGAAGTATTTATTCTCAAAATAACTAAGCGAAGGAATGATGCCATCCTCACCTACTGAGACCAGGTTCTTGAAGGTTTCCAGCATCACATCTCTGTAGAGCTTCCTCTGAGCACCATCCAGCAAAGCCCACTCCTCCGGGGTGAAGTCCACAGCCACATCCTCGAAGACCACCAAGTCCTAAAACCACATAAGTGTAGGAGAATGGATGACACTGACAACACAGGAGAAGTGGACTCAATTCATAGGAAGTTCAAACAAGATCCTGTGGTCTCCCAACATCTACTCTATGCCCATGCTCACTTCCTGTGTCATAGTTTTAACAGGCCACTAACTCATTGAACTTATCTCTCTCTGCATTTTTACTGTGACCTTACCTGTCTGATTCCTCTTTTTTGACAAAGTCTAGAATAGTCCAGAACATATTGGATAAATGAGAGAAATGCTCTACAAATGAAACAAATATTTCCATTTTATGACTACCAATTCCTTGTGATAAGGCTCTTTCCTTATTGCCCACATCACTCAGCACTACATGAACCACAAGTTCAAGCCTGGATGAGGTTCTAATAAGAAAATACACACTGAAGGACCAGGAGCTTTTCCTACTTTTCCCCTCACCAACCATGAGAGGCCCAAGGAAACCCAATTTGCAAGGTAGGCCAGCTGACCTATGTTGATGTATTCCAGCCCACTAGAAGTAGACAGGTCCAATTGGTTGCATGAAGAGATTTTTCTGGAGAAATGTTAATTTTAACTTACATGTATATTATTTTTCACAGAATCTGTTGCTACTCTTTCTTCCTCTATGTCCCTTTAATTGAGGCAGAAGAGGTATTGAGGAGGAGGGGAAAAGAGAAAGAAGACATGAGAAATTTAGACCTTTCCATAATCCCCACATTCATGAACCTTGGTATTCCTGTGCACCAGTTTTGGGAAGACACACACACACACATTGAGGTTATAAGACGCCAGAACAGGTCTTTCCACCAGAGGCATAAGAGAGTTAATTTCTATTAGTCTTCTTGACCTTGAGGAGCAGGTTAAGAGTCCTTATGGAAGAGGCCTGAGAGACCCCTCACCTTTTCCACCATGTGAGGACACAGTGAGAAGGAGCTAGCTATGAACCAGGAAGAGGGCCCTCACTAGAAAACGACCATGTTGGTACCTTGATCTTGGATTTCTCAGCTTCCAGAACTGTGAGAAATAAATTTCTGCTGTTTATAAGCTACTCTATGGTATTTTGTTATAGCACCCTAAATGGGCTAAGACACAGAGCCAGAGGCGAGTATGGCTGGAGCAAAGAGAGGTGGGGAGTAACAGTCAAGGACAGTGGAGAACGATGGGGGGTGCACATCATCTTGTGGGGAACTAGTCGGGGCTTTGACTCTGTGAGAAATGCAGAATACTTCAGGCTTTTGCATGGAGGAGTGATCTCATCTGATAGCTTTAATGATCCATCAGCTTCTTTGAGACTAGACAGTAGGAGGCAGACGTAGAGGCCAGAACACCTGTTAGGAGGGTAAAGCCATAACCAGCCTGGGTGGTCCCAGTGGAGTGTGCAGGGTAAGATAGGTAAGAGCTACAGAATCCTGATGGTCTGAAGTTGGGGCAAGACAGAATGAGGACTTGAGGATGACTCTGATTATTTCATGCAGGAAAACTGGAATAATGGAGTTTTCATCAACTGAGATGTAGAAAGCCATATGTGGATTATGTTCTTGGGAAGAGGATGAGGAATTCACCATAGAGCATGCTGAGATGGAGATGAGAATAAGATAGCCAAGTGGATACATATATAATAAAGTTTTCAGGAGTGCTGGTAATAACGGCAAAAATTTGAAAATGACCAGATAGCCACTAGCAGTAGAGTTAATAAACAATAATGGTATATCCCTGCAAGTGAATACAAGAGAATGATAAAGGTGAAGGAACTATTATTACTCCATGGAAGACCATGAACAAGAGAAACCTGACATAACTACAAAGCTATAGTAATAAAAACAGCATGGCACAAAAACAGACACACAGAACAATAGAACAGAATTGAAAGCCCAGAAATAAAACCACACATCTATGGACAGCTAATCTTCAACAAAGGAGCTAAGAACATACAATGGAGAAAGGAAAGTCTCTTCAATAAGTGGTGTTGGGAAAACTGGACAGCCACATGCAAAAGAATGAAAGTAGACCATTATCTTTCACCATACACAAAAATTAATTCAAAATTGATTAAAGATTTGAAGGTAAGACATGAAACCATAAAACTCCTAGAAGAAAATATAAGCAGTACACTCTTTGACACTGGTCTTAGAAGGATCTTTTTGAATACCATGTCTACTCAGGCAAGGGAAACAAAAGAAAAAATAAACAAATAGGACTTCATCAGACAAATGAGCTTCTGCAAAGCAAAGGAAACCATGAACAAAACAAAAAGACAACCCACCAACTGGGAGAAAATATTTCAAATCATATATTGAACAAGGGGTTAATCTCCAAAATATATAAAGAACTCATACAACTCAACAACAAAAAACCCAAAATATATAAAGAACTCATACAACTCAACAACAAAAAAACAACCCGATCGAAAAATAGGCAGAGGATATGAACAGACATTTTTCCAAAGAAGATACATGGATGGCCAATAGGCACACGAAAAGAATGTTCAACATCACTAGTCATCAGGGAAATGCAAATCAAAGCTACAATGAGATATCACATTACACCTGTTAGAATGGCTATAATTATCAAGACAAAAAACAAATGTTGGAGAGGATGTGGAGAAAAAGGAACCCTAAATCACTGCTGGTAGGAATGCAAACTGGTGCAGCCACTATGGAAAACAGTATGAAGATTTCTCAAAAAATTAAAAATAGAAATACCATACAACCCAGCTATTCTACTACTGGGTATTTATCCAAAGAACTTGAAATCAACAATTCAAAGAGACTTATGCACCCCTATGTTCATTGCAGTATTATTCACAATAGTCAAGACTTGGAAGCAACCCAAGTGCCCATTGACTGATAAATGGATAAAGAAGATTTGATATATATGTATCCATTGTGTGTATATACATATACATATATACACACAATGGAATACTACTCAGCCATAAAAAAGACAAAATCATCCCATTTGCAACAATATGGATGGAACTTGAGGGTATATGTTAAGTGAAATAAGCCAGACAGAGAAAGACAAACATCATATGATTTCACTATATGTGGAAGATAAACAAATACATGGACAAAGAGAAAAGATTAGTGGTTACCAAAAGGGAAGGGGGTTAGGGGGTGGGCATAAGGGGCAAAGGGGCACATATATATGGTGACTGACAAATACTAATGTACAACTGAAATTTCACAACGTTGTAAACTATTATGACCTCAGTAAAATAAAATTAAAAAGAAACCTGACATAAAATAGCATATACACTGTGATTTCATTTGTATGTAATATAAAACATGAAAAATTAGAGTATCTTTAAGGATGCATATGCAGGTATGCAAGTAAAAGGAAAGCATGGATTTTACCATCACATAATTCAAGATATTGGTTACATCTGGAGAGTGAGGGGGTCTGCCATTGGGAATCATTTCCAGTGGGATATCTGATGTCAAGCATTGTTCTAGATCTAGGGCTGGATCTTATTTCATAGGTGTTTATTTTTTATTATTTCCATGGACCATATATATGTCTTATGCACTTTTCTGCGTGTGTGTTATACTTTACAATGAAACTGTATAAAAAATTAATATAATTTACCTGAAATCATCTAAGAGTTGTAGAAAACCATTTTATAATATTAAACAGAAGTACATGAAAAAACTCATAGCATTTGGAAACAGAGGGTAATATACACAGCCTGATAAAGGGCATACTGAAAAAAGACTGTTCAAAAAGGAACATATAAATGGTGTGAAGTTCACTGTTTTCTACAAAAAAATGTACAAAACTAGGTGCCCATTGCCTTACTCTTAGTCAACATTATACTAGAGATCCAATCCAGTGCCACCTGAAAATAAATGTACAAGAATTACAAAAGAATAAAAGGTTATTGTTCTGCATAGCACTAGTAAGTGTACATGTAGGACCCCACCAGAACAAAAAGAACCATGTAATAAGAATCTTAGGAAGATTCCAGAATAAAAACACAATATAAAAATATTTAATAATAAATATTTATATTATATAAATAATATTAAATATTTATATTATATAAATATAAATATTTAATAAATATTTAATAATAACAGTAAGTTAGAAAATTAATGTTAAAAAGCTAACACAGCTGCATGACAGTAGGAGGAGCTCTGTGGATCTGCTCCCCAGTGAAACTGGTGAAAATTACTTTAAAAACAACCACTTAAAGCCTCTGGAAATAGTCCTAAGAATATACAGTAAATAGAGAAACAGCTATTCAAGAAAATCTTTGAAGATTCAGTAGAAGAAGTGAGTCTGTGGTATTTGAACCAAGACCCCTCCCTCTCTCCCTGGACTTCCATTTCAGACTACAGCCAAGAACACAGGCTCCCTGTCCCCACAGCTCCCAGTCAGAGGAGGAAGAGGACATCAGCATGTCTCATCCTGCCCCAATTATCTGTTACTGAGACTAAGTTCCAAGCAAGTTCAGTGGAGAGGTGGAGGCTCCCTCCTTCTGCCCAGCCCCCACTTGTGGAATGGAGGCTCTAGCGTGGGTAAGGCTGCTGAGAACACTGGAGACCTGATTGCTCTTGTTCTGCCTCATAAGATGAAGGTTCCACACCAAAGAGAGGCAAGCTAAGAAGACCTCAAGCTACTGCCCTTTGCTCAGCTCCTAAAGCAGGAGTGTCAACAGAAAGAAGTGTTCCATTGTCCCCATCCTGCTCCAGTGCCCTGGATCAGAGATTTTGACCGGGGAAGAGGCGAGCTGTAAAACAGATAGCTCCTAGTCTCTTCCCAAGGAACTAACTTCATTTGCAACAGAGCATGGAGAAGTTCAAGCCTAAGGGTGCTCTCAAAAACAGAGGCTGTGGTGAAAGGCAACTGGGAGGAGATTCAAGATACAGGCAAACTTGTAGTCCACCTTGTTAGCAGGAGAAAAACAGGGAAAGAGGCAGCTGGGAGGAGCCCTCCCAGGGTCTGAACAATTAACAAGCACTGACTCATGGAACTATTCCTTCAAAAGAGTCCAAATTTGACTGGATCAGTCTATAGAGCAATGCATGCACCATGGCATGTTCAAAACAATAGAGGAATCAGCCTGCAATTAGTGGAGATAACAGCTGCAGATGGTCAGAGAAAGAAAAGAAGAAAGGCTTGCCAACTCTACTGCCATCCCTGGGCGTCTGCAGGCATACACAAAGCTGTGCCTCCCCAAGGAGGAACATCAGAGGCTTAACACTGCAGGAGGTGGGGACAGGAGTAAATAGACTGGGCTAAGATAATCCAGCCAGTCACCAAGCAAACACAAATAAACAACAATAACAAGCCCAAGAGGAAAGGGGCCAGGACCTGAAGTTGCTACTACATATTCTCTATAATGTCCAGTTTCTAATAAAAAAATTATAAGGCATGCAAAGAAAAAGGAAATTATGACCCTTACAGCAGAAAAATAAGCAGTCAACAGAAACTGTCTGTGAGAGTGAACAGACGTTGGATTTAACAGAAAAAGGCTTCAAAGTAACCATTGTAAATATGTTCAAAGAACTAAAAGAAACCATGATTAAAGAAGTAAAGGAAAAGCCAACCTAACAATTTGGAGAAGATATTTGCAAACCATACATCTGATAAGGGGTTAATCTCCAAAATGTTAAAGAACTCATGCACCTCAACAACAACAACAAAAAACTAACAACCTAATTAAAAAACAGGCAAAAGACCTGAACAGACATTTCTCCAAAGAAGATATGTAGATGGTCAACAGGCACATGGAAAGATGTTCAACATCATTAACTACCGGGGAAATGCAAATCAAAACTACAATGAGATATCACTTCACGCCCATCAGAATGGCTATAATTAACAAGACAGAAAACAACATGTGTTGGAGAGGATGTGGAGAGAAGGGAACTCTCATACACTGCTGGTGGGAGTGCAAACTGGTGCA